CCAATTGACAAGAGCAATCCTTTATAGAGATAATTGATCCATCACAGACATTGAGAGAGTGTTATGTGTACAGGGACACTAAAATGTCATTTTGGCTGAATTCATAAGGGACATTGAAGAGAACACTAGGTCTGTACGGATATTATTTACTTTAAGACCAGAGGGATATAAAATGCATGATATATAATGCATGCACAATGATTGGACTGGATACATGAAGAGCTAGGTATGTAATATATTTCATTTTTTCCAAATTTCCTTTTAGCCTGCTGAAAATTTTAGCATTAACTGAACAAGAGAAAGTAATTGCTTGATATATATACAGCTTCTACTTCCTATGTACGGGAATGAGTTTGGCAGTGTTTTGCGGCCATGCTGATAATCTTTGAGTTCTTTAGGAAATTGTCTCAGCGATCTCTATCAAGAATAAAAGATTTCGAACGTGTATCTTAATCAAATTTTCAAAGAAATCGTATCCTTCCCCAAATTAACACCAAGTCTATCACATGCGGGTTCTAAACTTAAGCTTGCGAAGTTCAAAACGGTAAGTTTTTCAGTTCATAATGATGATTAAATGAAATTGAACTTATGTTTTTAAAGGTGTTTTCACAAACCTCATCTTGGAATGCCGTACTTACATACTAATGACTTCGTTTTCTAGTTTCAATTTGCAAAATTAAATTCTGCGGTCGTGTGTGGCCAAACAAACTACTGCTTTGCGTGACATAGAAAGCTGACACATAAAAGTTGAGTACTTCAATCAGAACTAACGAGAAATAAATCGAAGATTCTATTAGCTTAAGTCACATGTGAAGGAACATTATAGTCCGAGGTAGGCTAGCCTATCAGGGAATTAAATATTGTTATTTTGAGAAAGGCGACAACTCAGGTCCCGATGGGGCGGAGGAATGGGAGGACATATAGCCTTGAATTATATGTTGTATTTAAATTTTATGATGCCATTATACTAACATTATTGCAGTAAGTTTCCAAAACTTTCAGTCAGGTACCATTAGTCCTAACAAATACGGAACTAGTACAGACCTCTACTTACGTATAAATATGCTGTACTAATATCGATACGTGTGTTAGTGTATATTGATACTTGATAAAGAGAAGACAGAAATCAGAGAGTTACATATCTTAACTTTCTGGATTAAGAACAAGTATGAGAGAATCTCTTTACGCTAGTATGTTTATATTTAGAATATTTTCTATACAACCATGATGGTGACATGACCTGTGAATAGTAACTTGTAGGTAAGTAAAATGTGACACGACCTCTTTAATGATTAATCTATTCTCCATTTAAGTAACAACAAAGAATATGTTTAATATACAAGTTTCTCCATAGATTAGGTACCGACTTTGGTGGTATATATTTATAATTATAACTTTGATATTTTACGTCTGTGGATGATTGTCTATAAGGACTTTTATTAGAAGATACATCAGTGTCAAAAAGTCGATTTTATGTAATTCTAACAATGTGACACTATTTAATATTTTAGTCAACTTTTCCATTATATTTTGGACTTTGGAAATCGTTCAAAACATATTCAACTCAAAGCAAAAGGCGCAATAATTTTTTTTGTCGTTGTGCTTTTGTAGAATTTTCTATTCTCCTCCCATGTTGATGGTGTGTACCTGTCACGCAAGCCTCAGGTCAATAAAGTATGAAATATATCCTGTCTGAAATTCACAGAGAAACCCCAAACAATTATTGCCGAACACAATATAAAGCCGTGCACATATGGTGTTATGGATTAGATTTAATCCTTCTATTGGTTTGTCTTGTAGCTATCCTAGTTCATAGTTATTGATTGTGTGCGATCAGAAATTTACCCTTTGTTTAAACTGGCATTCTATCAACAAGTTGACGTAATGACGATCATTTAAACAGAATCTTTTTTTAGTTTCAATCTTTTAATTTCAGCCTTAATTGCATATTTAACCAGTCTTCATTCAGAAAGGTATTAATTTGCTTAAATGTTGTAACAAGTGCTAGATTATCGACGAGCCCCGGATATAAATGTCCTTATGTAAATATTTGTTGCCCTAAGTCGTCACTTTCGAGACAATATACTGCAGGACAAATAGAGGCCAATAAAGATGATAGGAAGTGGTCATAACAGTGAGATGATGGCTCTACCCAGAGTTTGTATAAACAAACTGTGTGTACCAACACGGCCTGTGGAGGAGACAATATTTCTCCAGCTGACAGAGCACACATTGATGTCGAATATGCAATTTTTATTGGCAATGTTTATGATTCGACAGAAGCAATACGGGCTCTGGTCATTAAACATAGGATCGATATGGTCATGCATGCCATACTTTAGACTCGCCCTTGTTTTATTGCAAATAAGATTTAAGCACTTTGGCCTTCGTCATCATGTATATGAATTCTAAAACTATGGTGACACCGTGTGCTTCCCCAACCTTACTATAGAAATACCACACATGGTACTTGTTGCATATCCCCATTCGCAGAACTTTGTTTTTAAAGAAAACTTCCCGTTACATAGTAAAATTCAGGACAAGTACAAACCTATTTTAGATTTTACCTCCTGGACATTGTCCTTTCTGCATATTGAATTAATTTTAGTCATTAGACTGTGAGTGAACATATAGAAATGTTGTTTAAGCAATCAAAGAGGGACCGCTAGTGGACCAAGTTAATGCGACCAAGACACGTAAAGTACTTACTTAATAGGGACGACATCAGGTTACACAGGTAACACACACAGGTATATTAAGGTAATACCGGAAGTGTTTACCAGGCCAAGACACGTATCTGGTCGATTGATTGTCGCAAAGCTATTACATGTATCTTCATCAACAATAGGAGATATCTCCATTGTGAACAGAAGCAATATTGTCCAGGGGCTCTCGATCTCCCTCGTGAACGGAAGTGATGTCCTAGGGCTCTCGATGCTGTGGCAGGCATTACTACACACACTAAGATCCCGAGATTAATACACTGCAGAGAGTACTGAAATATTGTTATGATTATTGCAATTTTACTCTGCTGATCAGGAAAATAAAGGATTAATTACGATATTGGAAATATCTTCTTGCTTAAAACACATACATCTTACTGATAGAAACATTAATTTGTGTACAAGATCCAAAAGGAACACGTATGATAGGCAAGATTCATGATTGCAGTAGCAGATTTTTACTAGAATACTTTTGATAGACGGTGTAGCATGATACTGGAACGCGTAGAATAGACGGTGTGAAACGGTATTGGAACTCTTATGATAGAAGTTTAAAGCAACATAGCATAGAAGGTATAGCATTGTACTGTAACGCTTATGATAGATATTTGTCATTGTTTAGGAACATTTAGGATAGAAGGTGTAGCATTGCACCAAAACATTTATGATAGAATGTGGAGCATGGTATTGGGACATTTATGATAGGTGTAGCATGGTATTGGGACATTTATGATAGGTGTAGCATGGTATTGGGACATTTACGTTAGAAGGTGTAGCATGGTATTGGGGCATCTATGATAGAAGGTGTAGCATGGTATTGGGGCATCTATGATAGAACGTGGAGCGTGGTATTGGGACATTTATGATAGAATGTGTAGCATGGTATTGGGACATTTATGATAGAATGTGTAGCATGGTATTGGGACATTTATGTTAGAAGGTGTAGCATGGTATTGGGGCATCTATGATAGAAGGTGTAGCATGGTATTGGGGCATCTATGATAGAACGTTGATCATCGCACTTGAAAACTTTCGATAGCTGTAGCACGATGTTATAAAGCTATAAAATTATAAACGTAATTTATAACAATTGCGGAACTCGCTATTTCAACTTTTATCAATCACTCTTGTTGTCCCGGATGTAAGCGCGCGAGGGGTTTTATTGTGGGAGGAAACCGGGGTACCCAGAGAAACCCAACGTGGTCGTGCAGGTAACCCCTTACATTTTCACGTCCGTTCCGAGAACCGAACCCCGGACGCTTAGGTGAATTGCGAGTGACTTACCAATGCGCCACCCGACCACCCACTTTAGATAGAAGCTGTAACATGGTACTGGGTACATTTTTAATAGAAGGTGTAGCATGGTACTGCAACAATTACGATAGAGGTGATGCATGGGACTGGAACACTGCAACACTTACGATAGAGGTACAACAATACTATAATGGTAGATGCAGCCTGGTCATGAAACACTTACAATAGTAGATCAAGCGTTTTACTGGAACTCGTTGATGATAGGCTCAGTTAATTCATTTTCACAAATACGTTTTCCAAAATACAGCTCCAGAGACACCCTAAAATTTACAGAACTCTACCCCATTGTTTAAAAAACGATGCTCCAGAGTTGCCTTGATGTTTTATAGGACGCTTGCCCAGAAAGATACCCTAATATCTCACGTGACTGCTGCTCCGGAGACCTTCACAATCACTTTACCCTAGATCCTTACCTTTCGATGGACCTGTATATCAGCATACTAATACTGTGGTCACAAGGTGCCCGTTTCGATATTCGGAGTAATGTTTATAGCATAATGACGTGTTGAAATACCTGTGTTTATTTTCACCTGTGGAGTTCAAGTGTAAATCAAGTATAAAGCATTTTAGGGATCGCGTGAACTTGTGTCGTGTCGGATCGGTAACATGTAGTAAAGATTAAAGGTACATAGGTTAGTGTAATGCCTGTCGTTAATGACGCATGGTGTTATATTGGTAAGTTGAAAAAAGGTGAGGATTAAGGAAGATGCTTCATTAGCTGTACAGCGATTCATGGCGGTTTTTATTGTGGACTTGATGTATTTAGTAGGTTTGGGAGGAACCACAGGACTGGGAACCTGAGCGGATATCGGAAACTCGATACCTGGTCAGTCGTTAAAACTACCTGTGACTTTGGACATATCAGAGCATGGTATCATGGTTATTAATTGGGCATACAGCTAATTGAGAAATACCTGTGTTACAGGTGAGGGTGCCCCGACCGCCGAAATCGACCCCCTGGTGATGCGGAAGAAGGTTCTAACTGACTACGGGGCAGGAACGCCGGAGTCCCAGATCACTTTCGTCTCTGTGAGGGTTTTGTCTGCTGATATCACCGTTAAAAACAACATGAAGACGGGGTAAGTAGATATATCAATACAGAAATTATTGATCGGATGATTGGCTGATTGTTTACTGAGGGCAGACCACTTTCTCAAGTTCTACCGGTTGAAGATAGAGAGTAAATCAACACTCTTTGTATTCTCAGACAATCCAACTGTCCAATCGATTTTAATCTACTCGCTACTCATATACTCTTGAAAAAGAACCTGAGCATATTTATTACTTAAGTTATAAGATATACTTGGGTGGAACCGTTTAGCCTGATAGCTCTATAACCTTGTAACTATGCTTTGGATGAATTCTGTCGAGTAGCTCATTTGTTGCAGATTCATTCAGCTATGTACAGTTTCTGTGAATAATTTATTCACTTATTTTGTTTAATGTCCTTAGCTATATGTGTATTTTGTAATGCTTATTTTACTGAATGACGAAATTTGATTAACATACATGTTACTGTTCTACTTTACACAGACTCCTTTTGCTTAATAACGAAATACTGATGAGATGATAAATTTTTGAAGATATTTACTATTATGTAGACTGGCAACACTTGTGTTTGTTTTTGTGATAGTGTTGCTCCGTGTGCTGACACAAACGGGTGTTATCTGTAGATCTATTTAGGAACTCAACCCAACACAATACTCCAGTGTTGCAGATAAACACTGGTCTCCAGTGCCGGAAATAATGCTTGTTCACTGTCGCTTTCATCAGACTACGACAACCCTTTTTCTCTCACAAAAGAAACGATTTTAACGATAGATCAATCTGTTTTACGACCAGAGCAGATCAAGAGATTTTTTCGTTTTAAAGCGAACTGAAAATAATATTCTATTACCGTAAGTAATGATACTTTCCGTTATTTGGTCTATTTCAGATAATTTCACATCTAAAATGCGACGATTTAAAATACAGAATCTGTATAGAACAAAAAGGGCAGCCGATTTGGCTGAGTGTCCTTTGATAGAAAACATGTTTTGAAGGAGGATACAAGCTTTGAGCCTAAAGAGAAAAGCAGAAAACGTTATTAGGTACAGGTATTCTGTAAAAAATAAATATTTGTTTAGTTTAAAAGAGTTATATTGTATCATACACTACAATAAAGCGATTTGAAAATAAATTCTTTAGATATGACCGTCCGGATATATTGGTCATCAATTTCATTTCTTCGTGAACCAAAATTAATCCATAGGGTGTGCCAACATGGCGACAGTATTTATTTAGAACAATACAGAACTGAACATCGTGTGCTATTAATGAGATCTGTGTCCTTAAGGAGCCAATTTATGGCAGACAATGTCGGTCTGGCGTTTTCTATTTACAAAAACATATCCATAAATGGAAATATGTTTTGTGTTCCTTACAAAAGTTATACAGGAAGAGAGAACATTGATGAGTTATCGTATCTCAGATGTTGATTAACATGTATAAATTACCTATTAAATGCATCTTATAAATAGAAATCAGTACGGGAAAAAGAGACAGTGTTTAAAATGAAATGATTATTATTTGAAACCATGCATACGAAAGTTGTGGGTGGGAATAATGATTACATCTGTTAAGCCAGATATGTTTGCTGGAAATGTCGTAGACAGCATGCCACGTATGTATGGATTAACACCGATATTACATGTTTATAGTGAGGATGGGAGGCACAACGTTAGCTATTAGATACACTACTTACTAATCCTGTGAATTCATAAAACACGTAACTGGGAAAAAGTAATATCTTTTACTTAGTATACAGGTATATAACACGTACAGTTTAACTTTGATCAACCGAAAATTGTCTTTGATTGTCAACGCTGTTGAGCAATACTAGCTCTATGTAGTTTGTAGTCTCGTGTTCTTGTAATCCGAAAGTAATGAAGTTAGCTTCATCTGGAGAGAATCAATGTTATATTATACGGCGCTGTGTCAGTCGATGGCTTTGATCTGTTTTTGTATACAACGATCTTCTCATAATGAAAGAACAGACGAGATAAAAAGGTCATGTGTGTTGACTATTGATAAATATCACTGTCAGAGGTTTAATGAATACCTGATCAGAACAAGATGATAGAAAACGTACATGATACTCATTAAAGTTCAGAAATAATCAGATTATTGAATTTTGAGGCAGTTTCCATGGTTACTTAATATTCGGTTTAACAATTTTATCAATAATTTTGACAATATAAATATACAAGAACGAAGCCTTCTTCTCACCTCGTATATTTTCTTTGTTCTATTACAATTCTTATTCATGGAATAGATGGTAGTAGAAAGTAGATAGCTACGAACATCAAATCGTGTACTTTGTACCGAATATCAGAGAATATCATTTTACACTGTATATGTCGATACGACGATTCACAATTAACAAATAAGACTAAAACACTTTAAAAATAACTAGAACTCCTAAAACTGTTTCTCGGTGTCTGCCGAAATCATGAGGAATATATGTCGCCACAAAATTTGATCTTGGTTCTCTCATCTCCGACAAGTCCGGACTACTATGGAAGCTGTCGGATTAACGTGTAGACGTCTACAGTAATGGACTTTCAGTTATCTTCAATACTGGTGGAATACAACAATAGCCATATGTACATGATCGATGTGTTCCACAATATCTCCAGGTTTGTCCAACAGTTTACGTAATGATTATTTCATTGCGTATTTTTAGCAAGTTGGCTGTTGATACCGACTTTTCGATAAATTTGTCATTAGTCAACATGTCATACTATATCGATGATACAATTCGTCTCATTTGGCGTCAGTATTCACTACCATAGTGTGTCTAAATAAAAATCCCATCCCAAACATGCTGCATTTATCCTCGGGAATGACTGTTATCGATTTATGGGAGTATTTTTGCCATTATCAGTTGACAAGAATGCACACTGTTATGTACAGTTCATAAACATGTTAATGTATAAAATAAGAAATGAAGGGTGTTAGGTAAATGGGGCATGCATCGTCAATAAGAGAGTTTGTATATAGACCTATCCTGTGATGATGAACAGTAAAGATTTTTTTTCTTTGTGGTTATATATTACATACGTATTTTACCCTATGTAGACGTGAAATGTTCCTTTTAGTTATGAAAAAATTGTAATCAGAGACCCGTACTTATTTTAAAATATATGATGTAGTAGTTTTATTACAAACCAACCATAAATGTGTTGTCACATGTGTACATCCCTCATTTAGCAATAGGAATCCAGCTTATTTCACTATTGAACGAAATTTCCTCGATTATTCAATGGTTCAGAAAATGTAACGACTATATTGCTGGTAAGGGAGGAGGAACAAATAACGATGTAATAGAAGCTATCACCACTTTATTGTTGGTAATGGCACTGAGCCGGATACGTTTATAAAATACGACCACATTTATAACAGTATCAACATCCAATAACCTCAATATGCAAACACCAGCAGTAATGTCCAATTATATTTTTTTTGAAAATATAAAATCGATATTAAATGTATCTGAAAATGAAATAATCGAAGCACGGCACAGTGTGCGATGCTTGTTCCCGCCCTCGCGATATGTTTCTATTTTTGTGCTTGGTTTGATGCTGTCGGATTTATAGGTGTCGCTCCTGCAGTAAATATCATGTGACATAATTGTATCTACCATTAATCCGTTATATTACAATGTACACAGCTCTGGCCATTTTCCTCGTTGTTAGTGATACATTCCCGTTATTGTCCTCTCAGACGGTCGCTAACCACCTAAATTTGCGTGAACTATTTCATGAAACTCACTGTCAATGTAGAATATGTAAATACTGTATGCTGACGTCAACTAAATTTATTTCTGAGAATGAAATGGTAAAATTAAGCATACTCTTTATGATATATTTAGTCTGATAACCATAAAAATAGTTAAATCATCAACGCTTTCCCGGAAGTTGAAGAGGTAATTACTAAACACCTGTTTTGTCTGGTTCTTCGATATATAACTATTACTGAAAGTAACTAAACGCAGTATTACGTAAAACGTCTTCTACAAGGCAATGAGAAGTCCGCGTAGGTGTGAACTATTTCCCAGCTGTACATACTATATTCTCTGTGTACAGTAACAACAGTGAAACACTTAATATTGACATTTTACAGGGGTGTTCAACTGTAGAGTCAGGCTCTCCTAAGTTATACAATATTTACACGCATCTTGACACATCTTTAAAGATCAAACTTATGCGTTTAACACACGTTAAAAATCACTGTTTAGTAGACACAGCACTTAAAATAACACCCTTAAAACATTTTCAAAATATATCAAATAGCCACTTCTGTTTGCCGTTAATAACATGCTAATGTATCAGAACACCAATGTTTGTTGACTGGCAAAGTAAACAGCTATACTTGTAAACAATTCTCGTTCAAATGCTACCTTAGCTTACATACAAAGGTATTACAAGAGGATTTTATTAAGGATAAAATGTGAAACTGTATGTCAGAGACGTACTGTGTTATTGGCTTGTACTCATATAATGTGGCGAGGGTTAAAGACTGTTAAGTTTGGGGCTTCCATGTTCAGGACAATCGGTAAAGCTGAAGGTCACAACGAACCAGCACTAGATTATTACTATGGCCATAAGAAAGTTCAAAGACACATTCGAATGTGACTAGATTTATTTCGTTATTTAAGACATGAAATGTATCCTGAAATAAAAAAAAATGAAGTGTTTGACGTACATTTACACGGTCGTAACTTCAAATAAAACGTTGTTATTGCTGCTCGTGGCTCTCTATGAGGTTTTATTGCTTTGCAACCGTGTGTAGTGTTCAGAACATTTCGGTTATAGAAGTAAAAATTGCAAATTTGATTTAAGTAATTAATACTTAAACAATAGAAAAAATTCTTTTTCTAAGGTTCCAAATTTGGATTATTTATACTTTCTGTTGTGAAATAAGGAATTTAAAAAAATAAGAGCAGCAGAGCAAACATACCCTAGTTGATACTGATAAATTATTCTCAAGGTTTAGAAACTGTCTGGCACAAATTGTAGGCACTGGTGCCTGCGGCATT